TATGGGCGGAGGGTGTGAACAGTTTCTGGGTAATGGCATGGAAGGCTATAGAATACCATGATGAACTGATCTCAGCTGTCCTAACTAGGACAGGGCTGCCCTATAATCCTTAACAAAACCAAGGGACCATTCTGCTTCCTTCTGTGCTCCTTCATTTTGCCATGATCAGTATCTTTTTGCTGACTAAACTATTATCACAATTCTCCAGTTTGACGACCAACATGCTACCATCCACCATGGTAAATAAAACATAAAAATTGTACTTGGATATATCTGTTTACATGGATATATCTAAGTGTTGTTTATTTTTTTCAGAGCAGTATCACAGAGCAGTTTTATCTGCTGCACAGCAGATAAATTCAGGTATAATTTCAGGGAGCATAGGATTGAATTACAATGCAGTGTTCTGAGCACAGGGCAGGATGCCATATCATGGTAATTCCAGTCTTGTCTCTGACACTGCCATCAGTACTCTCTGCCTTAATTTCTTTACAAGAGGTGTTGTGTTACAGATGTCATATCAGATGAAATCACTAAGTATCACGTTTGAAAGAAGTAAAAGAAGTACTCCTTTACACGGTATAACTCAATGGTAGAATTTATTCCTACCAGAATTTATGATAAATCTCATTTCAAAGTCTTTTCAGCTTTTTATGTGACAGAAACAATTGACTTAGCTAGGGTCACATGATTTGTATAAAATAAACAAAAAACCCAATTTACCACCAACAGCATTAGAAGGAACCTACTGACATTTAACCATCAAAGCAGAAGGATTCAACACATTCAGATGCATTAGTCCACTGGTGAAGAAAAAAGTCAACAGTCAAAGCAAAAGAGAGTCAGAATACTTCAGGTTTCCATTCATGATTCCATCCATTTTAAAAACCTCTCAGTTCTTTGTCTGAGGAGGCAGGAAAGGAGAAATGACCTGCTGCCATGGATGGAATGGTAGAGAGGGGCTCTCCGTGTAGGTTTTGCTATATTAAACACATTGGTGACACACTTCCCTAGTGCATAATCAAGCATATCACAGAGACTCCTATCTTCCTGAAAGGTTAATAATCTTTGCGTGCTATCACTTGTCAAACTCAAGCAATACCAGCCTCTAAAGCACAGGCAGTGGGGAAAAGCTTTCCCCCCAAAATGGCTATGCATGTACAGATCACATGAAGATAAAAAGGCTTGTGTTTTTGACTAGGAAGAAACTGCTGATAGTTAGTTACCATTACAAAAGTGTGACAGTAGTTAATGTGAATCAACAGTAAAAAATGGGATTAAAATAAAAAGTTTGAGAATTGAGGTTTTGGCAGATATTTTGACACTTTGTTGAATCCAACTCCTGCAGACGTCTTGATCTCATCTCACATCAGATACCTCTGTGGACCTCACACAGACTGATCTCTACCTGTTTTCCAGGATCCACAGTCTCTCTCTTGGTGAACACTCACTTCTGAAAACAGTTAACCCCAAAACTCCAAATACTACTTGGTAACATTCAAAGTATTGATCCTAATCCTCTGAGACACTCAAATAAACTGCTTTAATACTGATGCCAAGAGACCAGAAGTCAGTCTGTCTTCCTCTCTCTCTCTCAAATACACACACATTCTTCAAATTACTATTTTCAACATTATTTTTTTTTAATTTCATTATATTCCTCAGGCTCAACCAGAGACAGAGGGAACTTTTCCCAGTAGTATGCCAAAGAGCTGTCAAAGCCATCTAAAAGGGTCACAGTCCACCCCTCTTGAAGAGCAAACTGTCATCTATTTTTTCTTGTATAAATGAGTCACTGACACCTTTCCATTTGACACAAAGAAACTTTTTCAGTTCTTCCCCTGTATATAAGATACTCTATGTCTCCCTGGCTTTCAGGTTCTGAATTGCAATCCCTTTGTTACATGAGCCAGCAGGCAACACTCTTCTTGTTCTGTTACATGTACAACACAAGCAAGACATACAGGTATCAGTTGAATTACTTGTTCCAGTGTCTGACTTGTCTCATTTGAACTAACATACCACACATGCCTCACGTTAAATTGGCTTTATATTTTAAGACAGCCAAGTGATAACTTAGGCATATGCACTGTGTTTTCAGTTACCAGTCAATGATCAGGTGTAGGACCTCGGGCAAGTGACAACCTGTTTGCTGGATAAGCAAACTTGCCTAAGAAAGTAAATTAAGTGCTGAGTGTCCCCATTTCTCTTATCTCTGAATTGAGCATAAGACAAATACATTTCTGATTTGTGATCAAAAGTATATTAATAGCTCCTCCCAACCCTTGGAGAACTTGTGTAAAACAGGTGTATTACTACTTACCCAACACTGTGAACTCAAGTTGATTCACGTGAAATACTCTGGCACCTTTGGAAGTGAAGTGTAATTACTACAGAAGTGATCGGGTGTGTCAGGCAACATTGCATTTACAGCCTAATGCTACCATTACCTTAATGGCTAAATCACAGTGTTCGCTGGCAGTAGTGAGCTGTTCAATGTGCCTGTCCACTTCTGCTACTGACAAACTGCAGCTGCTTTTCTTCCGTCCACAGACAACATTTTCCAGACCTGTCAGCACTCTTTGCAGTTCTGAATTCAAGTCACTACAGTTATCTAAAAGAAAACAAGACAAAACAAAACAAATATCACAACAATTAGTGACTCAATGAAAAAACAAACTCTAACCCAAGAAGCGCCTCTTGCAGAATAACCAGGACTGATATTGTTCAAGGAATGTCCTCGCACTGTGTCACTTTTTCCTCACCAACTGATAGGCTTAAATACCATAACCACACCAAATTAAATAATGAGTTACCTCCCATCTAACAAAACAGTCCCTCTGCTTATCTAAAGTGCTCATTCTTTTTTCAAAAACCCCTCTTGTCTAAAGAACATTTTAAGACATCACATGCTCATATCGTAAGACGTTTCTTTATGTTGTTCTTTTGACCATTCAAAGCCAATTATCCTGATTTTATTACCCTCATAGGTTTCTCTCTGTAAATTCAACTGTTTTTTCTGTCTGTTACATTCATTGATGTTATGACTTGATGCTTTTCGGAGGAATTTTTGTGGTTGTACTTAGATACTATCTGACTTAAAAAAATCCTGGTGTTTACATAAATGATCCCTACCCACTATCTAAGAATCTACGTTTTATTTTAGTAGCTATTCCCTCTTCTGCAACTGCAGAATATTCAGCAATCATAACACCACAGCTTATTTTTTGTTACGTTCCATACTACAGCCATATTAGCAGCTTATACCACAATGTTATTTTAATTATAAAATGCAGCAGATTATCACTTCCTTTCCTGACGTTAGGTTAACCTCTTCTAGTGCTTTGGGCACTGCCATAGCATCCTCCATATGTGAAAACAAGTGGGTCTCTGTACCTTACTGGCTCACTTCATAAATTATTTTCATTTTTCTTAGGCTCTCCTCTAGTGACAGACAGTGGCAGTTCCTACATGTAGTAGAATTCACCTTTGTGCTGTCTCTCAGATGTGCTATTTAGTATTTCTGGATTTCTAGGTAAGAGTTTGCAATAGCTACCCACAGCACAGCACACAAGTGGTGCATTATGAGACGGCAGTGCACCCACAGCTCCTATATCCTACTAAAAACAGTGGCATGCACTCTTGCTGGAGAGCGTTATTTCTGTATTACTGCTGCAAGGTGCTTCATGACGGTCAGAATTCCATGGCAGTCTCATAGCTGTGGTTCTCACAGGAGATTAAAGCAGACTCTTGGTGATGGTCCTGTGGGAGGGCCAGGAGTTGGACTTGATCCCGAGGGGTCCCTAACTCAGCATGTTCTATGATTCTGTGACGCTATGAAACACAAACCTATTGCTGAACAAAACAAAGAGTTTAGAATGATGTCACAGCACTGCATGAAAAATGTGAAGGGGCGACATACAAAACTGTATTGGAAGTCATATTCACTGGTTCCTGTCTAGCAGCCACCCATCTTTTATGATAATACCAAAAAGCCCTTTATAAATGATAATAACACTCACTTATAAGCAGCATATAGCAAGCAGGATGCTCACTTGCAAAAACCTGTTTTGTTTGCTTGACTTTACTTGTTTCCATAGCACCTTCTATAACAAACATTTTGCACACTTAAGCGACCTTCAGAAGATCTTGTGTGCTGGGTTTTGTAACTACAATAACATTTTCCCTATAAAATAATGGTTTGTCATGTGAGAATCCTATTTCTGACAGAAACCAAATCACAAGATCTGCAAGATATACTGGAGAGCATTCATAGTTCTAGCTCTAGGTGTTTTATTGCCTGTAGCAATAGAGCAGCATATCCACATGCATTAGTGTGTCATGAGGCTTTACTAAGTCACTGATGCTCACTCCATTAGGGTAGTAAGCAAGTCACGCACACGGTTATTATATCATGATTATTTTATCTCTATACACCTATATCTAGGATAAAAAATATACCTATTTGTGTATCTATATATGTGTGTGTGTGCCTAATTTATTTTCTCAAGAACATGGAAACGGACCCCCAAAAAAGTCAGTCTATGTATATAAGGAAAATACAGAAGAAATGCAAGAATCCCTACAGCTGAGATTCTTATTTTGTCTATTGCTATATGTTATGTCCCACCCTTAAGGGGAAGGGAGCACCCCAGATCTGTAGATGCTTGTGGTCAACGGAATGACAAAAGTCAAAGAGTCCACAAAAGCTCATAAAATTTTATTAGTAGATTATACACTTGGCATGGAAATTGGTTTGCTAGTCCCTGACCTACTACATAAGCACATGGCAGTGGGTTTTGGATGACAGGGTAGCATGAAAGGGAAGAGAGAAAGAGAGAGATGAATTAAACAGGTGGAGAGAGAAAGAGAAAAAAGAGAGAAAAAGATGACCAGTCCTGGTTCCAGCATGATCCAGCTGGGGTGTTCGGGGTGCTGGAGTGCACATACAGAGCAAGCACACCTGAGCTTTGTGGGGATACCTGTTTATAGATAAGTTTTCCCTGCTCTGGAGATCAGTTTCTCATTTTCTGTGCAAATCAGTTAGCATGGTCAGCCGGTTCTTTCAGACCTTTCTGGAAATGGGTCGGAGGCTTTGGGGCTTTTGGGTGGTCTTGATCCCTCCCTACAGTCCATGCCCACTTCTCATCCTCACTTCTCACTTGATGTGTACCGTGTTGTACTTATCTCTACAGGAGCTAATCAAGAACATTTTTCCCAGAAAAGTGCTGCTCATTCCTCCATACCTGCCCCTTCTCCAGCCACATCCTGTTCTTCTTGTAGTATGTTATTACCTTGGCTGTTATTATCAATAATCCTCGGTTGGCTCCACACCTATCTAGCCATCTGTGTTTTGAGACATACACATCTTCTAGGTTTCTACACTATATTTAATTTTATTGCCTTGTTTCCCACTGTTAGTCGAAACTTAAACAGACAACTTGCTGTTAATGTACACAAATCATGGTTCAGTTCCACCCCATGAAGAAAAAAATCAAAGCCCTGATACCAAAATAAATGCTAAAAAGTGGATTAGTTTCACTTTTTTGGTCAAAAGAAAATTAAAGGGAAAAAAAAAGTCCTCATGTCACAATCTGTTCAAGTAGGAACGTAACAGTGAACATTAACTTTTGAAAGTAAAACAATTAATTCTTTAAGAATATAAAAACCTCTACTAAAATATCTTGACTACATCCAATATTTTGTTAATACTTTGAATTCTGTTGGTCAGACATATCACAATTACATAGATACCATTACAGAACATACTGTTCTATCATACTGTTTCAATAAAGACATTGAAATACAGCGGCTGGTCTTACATTTATAAACAATATGGTATAAAGAGTAGAAATAGTATTCTGAACAAAGTTCTGAATAGTGAGGATCACATCAGACTTCTGCTAGTCTACAGCTATGGGTCTCATCAATCGTGCCCAAACATTTAAAACATCATGCTGAAGGTCTAGGATCTGCTCATGCCTATACTGCAAAATGTATGGAGAAATTATTTCTTATGTGGAGGTTCTTCAACTAATCAGTAATTGTGCTTGAATGGCAAATTAGACGAAATTCTGAAGGAAAGGTGCTTGGCTTCTTAGTTCTTAACCAGAAAAACAAGAGTTGCCTGGAGGTCCTCCCTCCTTGCACTTTGTTTGAATAGCTTGTGTCAGATTCCTCCTTGTCTAAATCCATTTTGGCAAGCTATGCCTATCCATGCTTTAAAAAGGATGGATAGGCAAAAAAGCGTGGACATCCTTTATAATTAGGCCTTAAAAGGTTCCATTACCCATGCTTTCCCCCTTAACTTTTAATCTGTCTGCAATTCTTTTCTAAAGTTAGACTACTTTACAGGCACATGTAAGGTATGTGAATATCTTTCACTCCTTTCTTCTTTCCCAAAATTCATGAGCTCTCATGAACAATATTCCATTTTAAACTCCATAGCTATTCTACACAGCCAGTGGCCAGCAGGACTAGGCAAGTGTACTGGGCACTGGTAAGGCCACATCTCAAATCCTGTGTCCCATTCTGGGCCCCTCACTACAAGAAGAACATTGAGGTGCTGGAAAGACAACAGAGCTGGGGAAGGGTCTGGAGCACAAGTCTGATGAGGAGCAGCTGAGGTGGTTTTCCCTGGAGAAAAGGAGGTTCGGGGGGATCTTCTCACTCCCTAAAACTCCCCGAGAAGAGGCTTTAGTGAGGTGGGGGTGGTCTGTTTTCCCAAGTACAAGTGATAGGACGAGAGGAAATGGCCTCAAGCTGGACAAGGGCATGTTTACATTAGATATTAGGAAAAACTTTTTCATGGAGAGGGAACAGACTGCCTAGGGAAGCTGTGGAATTACCATCCCTGGAAGTGTTCAAAAACTGTGTGGATATGGCACTCAAGGACATGACTTAATGGTGAATATGGTGGTGGTGCTTGGTTGAAGGTTGGACTTGATCATCTTAGAGGTCATTTCCAATCTTAATGATTCTATCACCAAGGCACAGAGGTTACGTCACATATAAGTCATGTAGAAATTCAACATTAGTTGTGATTAGCACATCCCAGATTAATTTAGCTCCTCATCAAACGTTTGGATCTGCATTTCAAAGGCTATATGTTACCCTTCTGCTGTGAGAAGGCATCATGTCTACACCATGAATCACAACTCACCCATATCTGCAGTGACCATGGTGGACTGATTCTCTGGTACCGAAACGGAATTCTGGTCCGCGCTGCGCGAGTCCTCGTTAACCTCCTGCTGGCTCTGGCTGAGCTCCGACCGCAGCTCTGAGTACTCATCCTCCTCCCTTGGAGACAGAGCAAAGGCAGAAATAAAATCCTCTGAGGAAATATCTTCTGTTACATTTATTTCAGACCTGTCAGCTGAGCCACAGGGTACAATCCACAAAAGTTTTGTTCAGTCAGTAGAGAAGACTTTATACCCTTCACTGCAAAGTAACTGTGCTATGACCATAACACCCACTTGCAGCAGCCAGTGCCTGGTTTCCATTTCTTTATTCCCAAGTTCATTATTACTCCAGACCACTGTAGAAGGAAACAATGGGTGGAACTGAGTGCTAGCAAGGATGTGTGCAAGGACATCTGCAGCAGCTCCCCAACTGACAATTCACACAGATCAGCACAAGTAGATTTGATCCCAAAGTGGATTAGAAATAACTGGTTTTGGTCTCTTTCTCAGTTCAAGGATGTCATCAGCTTGTGTGCAAAGCAAGCACATGCACATACCTGCATATGTGTATCAAAATGCTCTTAGAGACAGGTAGCCTTTTCATTTTCTCTTCTCAAAAGAGAGAACAGATAAGTGAGTATTGCACCGAACTGCTGGAGTTAGTAGAAAATAAAAAGCCTTAGTAACCTAGCTTTTAACTTATTTGTCAAGCTGGTTCAACTAAAATAATTGAGGACACAGAATACTTTAGCTAAAGCTAATGAGCTTAAAAAATTAAGGATTTTCCCTTCTGTCTCCACACAAAGAGTTGAAAGCACTGGGGAAGAAGATAAGTAAATGAATAATAGCTTTTCCTGAGAACATTTGTAAACATTTTTTCTTACTGATTTGACTCTGAATTTTTTTTTACTTTCATAGTGACTGTTTTTACATTGAAGTATCTCTTTTAAACATAAGAAAAACATCAGTTTATCCAGGTGCAGAGCCCCTCTGAAAGCAGAAAAACAGCTATCATTCTGTTTCACATTGAATCACATGAAGAGATTAATTTTGCAGCAGATTCGGCAGAAAAGTGGGAGAATGAAACTGTCTGCATTTGGAAACAGTTAGAAAAGCAAAGACCTGTCTGGGGATCTGCATCTGAGAGGGGTATCTGTAATGTTAGGTTTGCTGTGCATATGCCACATACACTGTGTATGGTGATGAGTGTTTCTTGCAGCATTCAGCCTGGACTTGTGTCTGCATTTTTCAGGCAAAATAGCAGAGAAGATGGCCCCTGCACACAGGGATCCATAACAGAAGTGAAGTCTGCTCTCAGAGTTGCAGAGGTGACAACTTATGAACCCGTCTTAAAAACTCAAAAAAGGAAATTTCAGTTTGCTTGCCAAGCAGTGTTTCCCAAAGTACTGAGATGTATTTTCTACAGGAACTACTATGCTCTTCTACCCCTTACATTTGCTTCAGCGCAAAGAAAGTGTGACTTTATCAAAAGCACTTAGTGACCACCATTAAACAAAATGCAGGTCAGCCAGTTAACAGAGACTTGGATCAAAGAAAGGTCTTTGAGTTACCATGCAATATTTGTTTCAGACAGTGTGAGAACTCAATCATGAATAGCAGGAATTAAAATAGTGAAATGAAGACACATAAGAGCGAGTTAATGTTCCATGAACTAGTTCATTATTAGCCACAAAACAAGCCAGTAGTAATTAGCTTTGGACAAAAACAATTACCAAAGCACTCAAACAGTTGTAATTTTTCATCTGAAGGTAATTTATTTTTTAATTTCTGAAACAATTAGTCCTACATTTTTAAAACCTAAATTACCTTTAATTGGACAAATGGCTCTACTGACCCTAAAACAATGGTACACACTGTAGTAACTTCTCACCACTCTTATTGGGCTCTTCTTGCATAAATTTTCTGTTTAAAACACAACACAGCTTCATGTAGCTAGCACTAGTTCTTGTTTTTTGGTTTAAGTGCCCTCAGTATCTCAGAGCAGTTGAAAAGTATGTCACGTGGCAGAACTCACACTCTTCTGATGACTCAGGTGAGAAGTCATTTCCTAAGTGAACTAATGCTTCTAGGACCTGACCAGAAAGATCAGAAATCCATTTCTGGTAAAGTGACAGCTAGGTCAATCAATCACTCCACCACCAATCCCAGTGGGAACAGACTGAGGGTAAAAACAAGGGGGAATTCAAGGGCAGCGATACATCACAAATAGAAATTCTGCCTTTGAAACTGACATTGACAGCAACAAAAGATACTGCTTTTCATCTTTCCCCAAAAGAGAAGAAGAGTCCTCCAGAGGCACTGGAGATGCAAGGTGCTTGGCAATTGACTCCAGGAGGTGGAAGCATTACAACTTTCTCACTGCTGCCATCATGGACAGCCTGGATAGAGAAAGCAGGTAAGCAGGTTCTGCTTGTTCTGCTATGGGCTCTGATAGCTTCCACTTGCTGGAATGGTGAGTTGGAGGCAATTAAGACCAGATCAAGTCATTCTAGACACAGAGTGATGTGGGATCAGTGTTGGAGAAAAAACAGTGTGGTTTTCAGGTACTTATGCACTAATTGCTTTCTTCACATCCAGGTGCACCCAAGGATCACAAGTGCTGCACAGACTCTGAGGAAAATGTGTTCAAATAGTGAGCAAAATGCACACTTTCCAGCATCCTTTCACACCAAAGATGAGTACTTACACAATGCTGACAAGGTTCACGTTTCCTTCACAGCTCCAAATGCTGCATGGCTTCACACTTTAGGTGCCAGCAGTTTTTCAACACACACTTTATTTAAATAAGTATATTAAATATATATATATTATATATATTTACATATATATATTTATAAATATATATATTTAAAATATAAATATATTTTATAGCTCTCTAAGACCTTCAGATAGAAAATACTACAGGTGCATGTGCACAGCAACTCAAGAGATTCACTGCACCCTGCGTATAGACAGGTGAGGTCCCTCTGAACTAGTTCACCTGAGACAATATGGGAATTAATCACTGAGGGCAGGTAGAGCTGGATATTGTATGCTGAAGCCAACATTATCACATCCACACTGCCATTTGAATTGAATCCAAAGTGTGCTAGCTTCCACCTAGCACATATTTAGAAGCTCCAATTAGACCTGCAGGTCACTATGTAAATGTGAGAGTAAGTGCCGTGTGTTATCTCATTTGATGCTGTTGTCTATTCCCTCTCCTTCTTCTTCATTAACTCCAACACAACCTACTTTCTAAATATATTTCAGATTAAAAGCTGTAAGTGTAAACCAGTGGTTTTCCAGCAATAGGTTACAGGCTTCTTCTTCTTGACAATTGTTTCAAATAATTCTTAGCAGGCACCAATGTTGAACAGAGTATATTTCTGTCTGTATTGTTATAGTCTATTTTTAGAGTTGCAGAAATGCACCCAAACAGCCAGTGGTTTAGAACTAAAAGCAGTTAGATCTCTCTCCTTTTCCTTTACCCAAACCTCTATTTGATATCTAAGAAAAACAGTCATATGCTGAAGTTACAGATGATTTTCACAGCCAAAAATAGGATTAAGAAAAAAAATCAGGTTTGAATGAATCTAAGGCAACACTAAAAACTTTTGAAGTCAGAAATATTCATCTTTAATGTAGACATAAGTCCATTTTAGTACACCACTGTATAATTTATAAATCCTCTCTGTGCTTCAGAGTTACTCAGTGTATCCTTTATGTCCAAGTATTTACAATATGAATCTATAACTGGGAAGATCCATCTGATTGGTTTTGCTGTCTTCTAAGTTGTACACACTTCGAGAGAAAACAGGAGTGAAATACATCTTGTCAAAGGACAGAGAACCTTGGCAACATAAGGCTGGTCTACTTGCACTTGAGTATCAGCAACTCAATTTTTAGCCTTAATATCAAATCAGTTACAGTTGTATTTCACCTTTTCTGCTGTCCAAAGCAGCAACAGCAGCAGGGAGATGAGAGAACTGCAGATGAGTGCTGGCTTGCTCCCACAACCATGGTGAACTCATTTTTCTAAGGGAACCCTGGAAGAATCTAGTGCAAGAGCTGCTGCTAATTTCATGGGGACACACACATGGAACTTGCTGTACCCATGAAATGGGTAGCAAACCTAGAAAAATCCTGTAAACTTCTAAAATATTCCTGTAAGATTACTACTACTAAAATCAGCAGGTCAGATATGCCTGGGAAAAGACATGTGCATTAACATGTGACTTAAGCTCTCTTCTTGCTCAGAGAAGCTGTGGATGCTCCATTCCTGGAAGGGTTCAAGGCCAGGCTGGATGACGCTCTGAGCAATCTGGTCTAGTGGAAGGTGTCCCTGTCCATGGCAGGATCTTTAGGGTCCCTTCCAACCCAAACAATTCTACTATTCCAGAGCTGGCATTACCAAACCTCATGAGCAAAAGCCATTACACCTCTAAACTGATATTGCAAAGGCAAAAAAAACCCCAACATTCACACCAAAAAACCACAGAAAAATTCTCTGAATGGAGAATATTAACTAGCTTATACAGCCAGCCAACACTCCTCCTCAAACCGTTGCAATATCTTATTCAGATTCCAACACAGTGGCTGATTACTTTCTGCCCTACTTTCTAAGGGTACTACTTACACTCAGACAAATAGCTACAAATTTAAAGATAATACAACTTAAAGAGGATAGTCAAATACCCTCTACAAAATTCTGGTTTCTTCCAATCGTTTCTGGAATATTTTGGGGTTTTGGAAGGAACTATGAAGAATCTCATAAAGTGGCAGTACATCAAGCTACGTTAGTTTATTTTTACACCCTAAAACCTATACATGAAAAAAAAGTGACCAGTCTCCAATGCTGTGTCAGCATTGGAGAAACATTTATCTGTTATGCAACTAAAGTAAACTCAAGAAGACTGTTTCTGGAAAGACAGCCCAATTTTTGTGATACCGCAAGTAAAGCCTCTGCTCTGTTTTACTTGAAGGTATCAAAGAGAGAAATCAAAACTAAAATCCCTCCTGTGCTCTGGTTTAAAGGTAAGTATGAATGCCAAGGCTCTACAGGGCCATGCTCCCAGAACGCTTTCTCTCAGGATTGTTTTGTTCCAGCTCCTGGACTCAACAGTCCCCAGAGCCAAGGGTGGAGCGCTTGGTGAGTCACACGTGATCTGGCAAAGGACAGCAATTACACCATCCCTGCTCCATGGGACTGAACAGCTTCTCAAGAGTGACACACGTGGATCCCAGTGTGGATTTACATAAAGTCACAGCAGGAAGTATCAGCTTTCCTTCGTTCAGTTGTCTTTACAGACTGTATGGAATCCCTTCAGTATCTACTTGGTTGTAAATTTTAGGGGCAGTATTACTCTTCTGTTCCCCAGACATCAAATTATTGGCCTGCCAAAGAAAACAAGCTATTCCCAACATTAAAGGAAGTAAAAAATCCACTAACAACAAACATTTTTGTTCTTATTAATAAAACCAGATAAGGCATTCTAGCTGCCTGAGCAAAACGAGCTCTCATATGATTGAATCAAACTGGAAGAGCACGACAGTGGTGTTGCAGCAGTATTTTTCTGATGCCTTTAAAGAAAAACTGCACTTTTCATAAGAAGCAACATGTGCTTCCCATCAGGCTTGGCTCTTACACCTCACTTCCCTGTGGATGCCACAGCTGATTCATTTATGGATGTGGTTAAACATTCAGAGCATCCACCTGATTCCAATATTTTGTAATTGAACACCACTTGGCATTTACTTTGGCACAGGGATCCCAAACAAACCATTTTTATGAATTCTTAGTAAAATTCTTCTTAAATGTCATAGAGTTCATCTGTCATTCAAGAAAAAAAAAATCAATGCTTCTCAGATTTTGCTTTTCATCTATTCAATTGGTAGAGCTTTACCAGAGAGGAGGGCAGTATGGACAGTATCATGTTGAAAAGAAAGGCAACTTGAAACAAGACAAATAGAAAATTTGTCTGCAGAGGTATCAAGCATGAATGAATAAGGGAGTCAGGGGGATTTTTCTTCAGAGAAGTACTACCAGTATAGGAAATACCTGAAAAATCTCACCATGATCATCACTAGTTATGAGCATCTCATAGGCAAGAGTATTTAAATTCTTAAGTAAAATGAACATAATGTGATTCTACCACTGCTTTTGAAGTGCTATATATATGTCTGTGTGTGTGTGTTGATACTTCCTCTTATTTATGGTACACCAAACCTTCTTCTTTTTGCATATAAATATTTTCATGAAAGGTTAAGCGAGTAGTTGTAACAATATTGCCTTGTGCTATAAGAAATATTTAAAAGGAAGGACAAATACAGCACATTACAAAAAATTGCAGCTAATAGGTAAGGAAAACTGAAAATTTGCTACATGGCTAGAGCATCATGCCAATGTTACCCACAAAACCATCAAATCTAATTTGAAATCTAATTCCTATTCTCTAGGAAATCTGTAGATTCTAGTTGTTTAGTTGCATCCTCACTAGCTAAACTATAAGAAGCTCCTTCTGCATTCTAGTCCAACTGCTCTACGTTGAGAATAATGGGTAAAAACAAGAGAGAACAATGTTTCCATGTAGTCTAATACACAGTTTACTTTAATACAGTAACATGTAATGATCCAGTGTAATACCCTAAGCCTTGCTGCTCCAAAGACAGACAACAATGGGATTTGTACCATTGTGTTTTGTCAAAAATACCAGTACAAGCAGGTGAAAAACCTACTGAAATCTATTTCAGCCATAATGCTCACCACAAATGATTTCCCTTAGATGATCTACAGGAGGCCACAAAACAAAGTTAAAAGCACAGCTTCAAGTTGGGTGGCTTCATCTTCCTTTATACACCCTTGCTGTCTCTTACGTGGTTCCCCAGGACATTATGCTAAAGGAGTATTTACATGGCACAGTGCAGTTTTTTGCAGTGCTTGTTAGGTTAGCAAAGTGTTATTTTGCCAGAGAGAATGCAGCACTTCTAGGTCTTGGGATGATACTCTGCAGAACACACACCTTAATTATGGGCAGCTATTCAGCACCAGTCACAACAAGCCCAACTACCTTAAAGTTGTCACCAAATTATATTTAGAGTATAATTCACACCATGTTTTGCACTTGTCTTGCATTAGCCCAGGATTTCCAGGAAGCTGCTGTACCTTATTGTTGTTCCCTGTAGTCGATCGATTTTCTTGTTCAGTTCAGCAATGATACTGTGCAGCTCTGTGATGCGTTCCTCGTAGCGCAGCGTTGTTCGCTCCTGCACATCTTCATGCTCTCTCATCAGGTGGGATTGCTCACACTAAAGCAGAGAAACCAGGAACAGAAAGAGTGTTATGAATAGCTGCATGGAGATCACATACAAGGCAAAAGTGCACAGCATTATGGTTTTTTTACTCGTCCTTAGCAAGCGAAAACGAGAGAGATAAAATATTGACAGGGACACAAAGGTATGTAATTACAAGATTTTAGAAACTGACAGAATATGCTGTGTACTTTTATAATTTTTTTTTTAAAGGGCAGAAGTTGCCCCTCCCACTTGAATAAAAAACACCATTTGCAACTCAAAATAGCTACAAATATTGATCTTTGAATCCAAGAGATTCAAGGCACATTGTGAATCTTCAAGGATATTCCCAACATGCTCTGAATTAGAACAATTCCTATGGCAAAACCCGCATCATTATGTGGGAAATGTAGAAAAGAAAATTAATTTCACTGAAGACCTGCAATGTAAAATCCTAGCAGCCATTTCTAAAGATTATGTACAAACCTAAACATCCACTGGTCAGATTATGTGACTAATACGTCTGTTCTAGAACAAGCAGCAGTCACAAGTATTGAGGCCATGTTGCTGAGAACACAGCTGTGTTGGGCAGGGCACGTCTCAAGGATGAAGGACCACCGCCTCCCTAAGATCTTGCTCTATGGTGAACTTGCCACCGGCTGCCGCAAGAGAGGAGCCCCAAAGAGAAGATTCAAGGACTCCCTGAAACAGCATCTCAGCCTTGACCATATTGATCAACATAACTGGTCTACTCTGGCCTCCAATTGGGAGGCCTGGAGACACACCATCTATAACGTGCTGCTTCTTTTGAGAAAGCACACACGATCACTCTCAAGGAGAAAAGATAACGCAGAAATAATTGTGCCCAGCAGAATATACCACTTAAGGAGCCCTTCTGCTGTGCCTTTTGCAACCGGACTTGTCTATCTCGTATTGGCCTTCTTAGCCACCAGCGTGCTTGTAACGTTGGTAGAGCCCTTCCCAAATCTTCGTTTGCGAAGTCTAGCCATGATGACGGAGGTTCTCCAACATTGCTGCATCAAAAGCTTTTTTGAATCAAGTAAACACTCCATAGAGAGGTAACTCCCTAAACCCTTTGTATCATAAATATGACATATCCAAACTAGCAGGTGTGGCAGAATTTTCATAGTTTGCTCTCATATTTTTTGGCCACTTACATTCATAGCTTGACAACATCACCTATATAAAAGCCTTATTGAAAACTAAGATTTCCACTGACCTTCAATAATATTTTTATTTTAAATTTTAAATACAATTTGTTCCATGATTTTTAGATTTCATGAGTATGCACACTGAAAAGTAGCCCAGACATTAGAGGACCCTTCCATAGACTACAACAAAATAGTTTCTTACTCCAGATGTAGCCAAAAGCACTTTTGCCTATACTAGAAGCAACAGATCACATCATCACATTGAAAAAGAGAGCAAAGGGACACAGTTTAGAAGACTGAAAATATTCACCTCTCTTCTAAGACTTCATGTTGGCAACTGATATCTTTATAGATGTATATTATAATTGTAGAAACTTTCCACAACTTATTTATCACATTTTTGGTTTTTAACATCGTATCCGTCTGAAGAACTACCATGGCCTTCAGAGTGCAGAAAGAACACAGAGAAAACGTTTCACAAAAGCTTTAGAGCAGATTTAGGGGGAATAAATAAAAATCTAAATTTCCTCTGACACACACATATGTCCACAAATGCATTAACCAGATCAATCAATTATACACACTGGTGGGTTTTTTTCCTTTTAAACCAAAGAGATGATTTCAGATGGAGTGTATAATAACTGTTTTCTGACAATAAATAAAAACCCTATCACAACAATTTTTATCTCTCTAAGCTATACACTGAAAAGCAGAATTTGTTTATCTTGACTGAAGATACATGGGCTCTCACTAATGGACCCCAGCCACATTACCAGACTTGCTTTCTGTTTTCTCCAGCCATTTCTCAGTCACCATTTTTCAGGACAACCATCGTTTAGTGACAGATGTACTTTGTGAACAACCAGAAGTCTGGTAATATAAGACAATAGTTTCACATTTGATTTTTTTAAAAGCACTCTTGAATTATCTTAGGCAAAAGCAACTGAAAAGGGCTGAAAGGAAATCTCTGTGGAAGACAGGCCATGATGCTAACTAAGGACTGCACTGCCTTGGAGGTGGGCACAGAACTACATCTCCAAAGTTCTGTCATCCATGACAAGCCTCAACTGAGAAAGGCAAAAGCATCCGAACAATGGAAACATAGTTCAGTATGGATCCCAAAATGCAGCCATGGAAAATTCTTTTTGGTATACAGGACTGCTCTTTGTTATGGAACATTCATCTCAAAGCTCAAAATGAAAAAGAAACAAATGCATCTTTTGGTACCCACTGCTGAATTTTTTCTCTGGGATATTGCAACTATTCATCATCCTCCTTAGTTTTTTTTGTTCTTTGAGTCTCAGAACAAAATGATCTGCTACCAGTTTTTATTTCTTTCCAAGGTGTACGATATAAATTAACAATGACTGGAAACACTATTGTCTGAACTCTTGACGGTGTTCAACCACAAGAGCAAGAAGAGTATGAGGGAGAACCATGGTAAGAGAAAATAATTTAACCCAAGCTTATTGTCTCAATATGTGATTCTTCTGCCTATCAATGTACAAAAATTCCTAGTGAAGAAACACTAACAGTGCATTAAATTATGTTCACCTTTATGTTAAATTTGCAGTGTTCAGTCAGAGGACAAAAAAAAGAACCACCAGCAGCAGTGTTCATTAAGAGATGCCCCAGTGCCTCAGGCCCTGCAGAGACAAACACTGGCTATAGTGTTGTTCACCAGAATACAAGTCATCACCTGAACAAGCCACAATGATAAACCTGTCTAACAGGATCGCAGGAACTAAAAGTCTTTGCTCAACTAACACAGTACTTTAATTTAAGAGGAGTGGCAGATTTAAAAGTGGCAATCCATTAATCTAAATTTATGTGTAAATACAAGTCTATGGTGCTAAATCCTCAATCATGACAACATGCACAGTCAGAATTAATTGTTTTGTTGTAGATTTTGTGCATACTTGATGTGGAAGATGAATACAAGTACACAGAATTAATCCATGTCAGATAAGGACATCACACAACAGATGAGTAATTTCAGTGTTCATCTGAACACCACTCACTTCTATTTCAAGTTACTCTGTTAAATGAGAAACTGAAGCCTTCCTGTGAAGTTCACATGTTCTTACATGTCTGCAGAGAATGTTGCTTATGTTCTTACATAACTACAGAGTGTTGGTTTAATTCTTATACTGAAATTCTGCTGTCCCTCCCTATATTGTGAATAATCAAGAGGATGGTAAAGAATTATCCTTGCAGTAATGGGACATGCTACTGTGTGATACACAGTCCAGAATTGTACAGCAAAGTCTTCGTTACCCTGTGTCTATAGCTATTATGGAAACTCAAAATTACGACGAAGAACAAAGAATGAGAGAGTAGGAGTACCTTGTGAGAGGAGATGAAATGATAAGAAAGATGTAATAAGTGAATTGTCTATTCTTGTTGTATTTACTGAAATGTTTAGCATGTTATTAAATTCCATGTTCTAACACAAAACTGCAGAGCTCAATGTCATAGGATGTAGGAAATTTCAAGAATGTAGATAGATTAGAAAGCAGACTATATAAATCCACAGAGGAAAGGACCATATAGGACTACAAAACGCAGTGTAGCCTGCTGCTCACAGATGTTGGCAGAAAGTTGGGGGAGTGTGAAGGGGGACAACTCTATGCATTTCTTATGCTCTCCCTTCACACGTCCAGTATTTATCACTATCAAAGCCAGGACACCATGCCAGGCAGAGCTAGCAGAAAACACTGCAATTCTCATAACAATGGAAAGATTTTTGGAAGAAGACATTAGTTGAGATTGACCACTGCTTTATAGCAAATTTCATTCAAGAGATCACCTTGCTGCCAAACTGTACACTGACAAAAACACAAGAGACAGAGATCTGCTGTGTTACTAAAATAATAGAGGCATGTACAGAAAAATTATAGCAGGTCTCTACAGACTGCAGATTTGGAAGCAAGCATGCTACAATCACCAATAATCAATTACATCACTTTACAAAATTTTAAGCCCAGGCTATCCAACTATCTTTCTTCACCATTTGTCATTGATTACTTGAATTGTGGTTCCCCAAATCACCTCCACTCTGCAAATCATTAATCCTTTCTTCAAAATGCCTCACATGTCTCATGAAATGATGGGAAAAGTATTACCAAAAATGCGATTTAAGAGCTATTTGTTCCAGAGAGCATTTACCATGCCAGCTGAAATGAAACATGTGCTGCCTTTGTAAGTATAATCCAAATGCAGAATAGAGATTTAATACTGGACAACTAACATCTGAGTATGGTTATGCAGAACCTCAAACACCTCCTATTTAATTTATGCCTTCTGAACCTCTGATTCACATTAGACAGAAGCTGTAGAGGAAAAAATTGTATGATACAATATGAATTTGAATGAATCCCTGTGGAGCGGGAGGAAAAGTTCAAAAAACTATGTTAAGTGACGTATCTACTTGGAAGTGATGCAGTTAGAAAAAGAAGAAAAGATGCAGTGGTTCACCAGTCTCAGTCTCAGTACATAAACAAAGCCATTGCATTGAATATATGAGTTGTGTTTCTTTAATGGCTTATTCCTTAAGAAAGATTGTATTTTATTTCCACTTGAGGGCATTTAAAAAAAAATAAACTGAAAAGAGATAAAACATTAAAACTTTTTAGAAATTTCTCATTAAAAAGTAATTTATCTGAAATCTAGCTAGCACGCTAGTTTCCACATATTTCATATGTGAAAGGTGGGGGTCATCACTAGGCTTGTGTTCCTAAGCACAGGGCTCAAGCGCATGTAACAACCCTCAGCATGAAAAATTGAGTGCTATAAACACATGCATAATTGATACCCCACCAAGGAAAACACCGAACAATCTCGTGCTAACAGAACACATGATAATTGGGATTAAGGACTGATCCTTAATCCCAGTTGCCATCAATTCAGTGCTGAATGGGAGCACCTACAAGGCTCTAGCTGAGAGATAATACATGTATTTTTAAACAAAGATTTGGAAATAAAAGTAAAACACTGACAAAAACCTGTGGTTAGCATATACAAATAATAACAATGTGGTCATGCCGAATTATGTGGATCATTTGGATACAGTGAATCATTCTGACAGTTTAATGATTGTTAAATGCAGCCTCATATCAAACTCTAAGCAAGATGGAGGATTCTATCTGAAGAATGCCATAGAAATTAAAAAAGGCTCTCCAGATTATAGCTGATATACCATGTTAACTCTCAGTTTGGCTCTGGCTCACATATTGAAGGGAACAAAAACATGAAAGTGGTTTTTATTTCTGGATGTTGCATTGATGGTCTGCAATAACAGTATCACTTACAAGCCCATAAACCTTTAAGGTAGCTGAAAAAAACCATTAGGAAATGCAGGCAAAGGCCAACATAAGGGAGGACTGAAGTAAAAGCCTAAACATGACCGCTTAAACGCTTCTACATTTGGTTTGAGTTTAATTAACACAGATACCAGGCCTTTCCAGAATGCACTGAATATTGAAGACTCTAAATCTGCAAAATCGCAGGATGGCTGAGGCTGACAGGGACCACTGGAGGTCACTCATCCAGGCCCTCACCCAACCCACCAGGTCCAGGTGGATTGAGGACTTCTAAGATTGGAGATCCTACAGCTTCTCTGGGGAACAAATAAGATGCCATACTCTACAGGACAAAATGCTTTGATTGTCTCTATACAAGCATAAATGAATATGGGGTTTGAACTAGTTTTGAAATGTAAAGTATTTACAAATGGTATTTGACACAAAGACAGTATCGGAAAACAAAGGTTTTGTTTATAGGAGAGAGAAATATTAAGAACAATAGCTCAATTTTCCTTGTTTGCATTTGTGTCTCTACAAGAGCTGTGAAATCATTAGAGGTCAGACCTTACTCTTATTTAACCCCTTGGCTTTCCTGTGTTTTCCACAGCAGATACACACCAATTGACTTACTAGAAGCTAGACTGAGATCACAAATAATTTCTCATGTAACATCAAAACACTGACAATTGGCAATAACTTTTATGAGTGTTAATTTGTGCTGCATTTACATCTGACCCAGAAGTGGAAGGCTCTGCAACCAGTTACCTAATCCACTGTGTATAGGATCCCAAAATATAATATTTGCAGAGAGAGATTTGAGTGGTCTTTGCAAAAAGCCATGGGCTACAGAAGCTGGGAAAAACCCTCTTCATTGACCTTATCCCTGAGGATTTTTCCTGCCTTCTCCAGCAGGATGTGAAGAGACTCTTTGCTTGATGTTATCACATGCTCTGCCCAAGCCAGAGTCCGCATCCTGATCTCATCAAACCCCTGCAGAAGACCTTTTGTGCTTTCTCTCTCCCTTTGTGTTCCCTAAATCCTTGCATTCTGTAAACCTGAATACCTTTTTCCCTCTGAAATTCCCCTAAGATAAAATGGGTTTTCTCCTATGATGTATGTGTAAGACCCCAAATTTGTTAACCTGGGTTCTTCCCTTACGTCATCTCCTGAAACCCCCTATTTATAATAATTGTAATAGTTAAAACCCCCTGTTGAATATGTAAACCATAAACCCTTTAAATATGAACTTGTAAGTCCAGTAAAGGATTCCAGTTTTCTGCCTCCGCTGGAATCATCGTAGTTATTGACTTGCTACAACTGTGGGTATGCTGCAAGTCTTCTAAAGTATTTCAAAGCATTTGTTGTTTATATTGGCTTCAACCCAAAACTAATCTAATTATTTTTAGGGGTTTTTTTTGAAGAATGTCATCAACACATAAAACTTATAACCCATGGCAGTATGTGTCTTGCAGTCTTAAAATTCTTTTCACTTTTGACATTGTTGAGTATTTTATCCTCTCCCCACACACTACATTCCTCTCTGAGAAACAACAGCTCCACAAAACCAAGGACCGTCTTCAGTATCTTGAACTACTGTTGCTTACCTGTGCTTTAGCCAGTTTCTTTTCCAACAGGTCACGTTCCTTTTCTGTTTGTTGTAGACATTTATTAAGCTCCACTATGTCTCCCTTTAATGAAGCCAGGGCTGCTAAATGAAGCTGGAAGACAAAAATGAAAGAAACAAATTAACTAATTCACAAGCTATGTAGCAGTAGCATTTCAGAGAAGAGACAGTATTATACAGCAGCTACAGTATCACTGGATTTCTGTAGTAGTTAATAGGAACTTTAGTAGAACAAAGTCTAAAAGGAATCTACATGCAAATAAATATTTTTAACATGGAATTTTTCTCTCCAGACAGCACACACATTCCTTCACCATATCCTTTATAAGGATAAATACAATGAAGAATAATTCAGGTAGAAATGTGTAGATTAGTTCTAACGTTAGTTTATTAGGAGGCAGGTTGAGTCTTGTGCTCTAAAACCTTATAGTAAATGTTGACTAAGACTGGTATTACAGAGTAAGGTGTATCAAGTTTCGATGCCTTTAGACATATAGAGATTATCGGTTTGGTGAAGGGAATACCTCCATGCAGAGGATTTGGGTTTATTTTGCAACTAAAGCTTACTCCACCTTGAGCTACTGCTCTGTAGTTCTGCTCAGTCCCATGCCAGTGAGTTTCAACAAATCTAATCTACTGAACCCACACATGAAGAACATGAATTGTTTTTCTTTCTGCAGTAGATCCTTTTGATGAAAGATATGTTCTACATTTAACTGATAGCATTTGGTAATATCTATCAGGTTAGGATAACTAGTAACATTGAAACTAGGTTAGCTACACAACTTAGAAAACAAGAACAGTTCTTACAAGAATCCTATACTTTTAACTCGTTCACACTCTCTTTGTCCTTAAATATCCCATTAATCATTGCACCAAAGGCATCAACTAGAATTCAACACTCAGTACTGATAACTACAACTGAAAAGTCCTGGAGGAAAACTAGCCACTAATACTGAAGTCTTTCTTTGTAGTAGTAAAGAAACAGCTTCAAGTTATACTGGGTAAGAAAACAAAAGTGACCTTTCACACCAGAGTAAGCAACACAGCAGACATTGCTCTGCTGTCAAGACTCAGACTGAAACATAAACCCTGCTTCTAGTCCTTCAGTCAGTTTCAGTCCCTCACTCTGATATTTTATTGGGCGGGTCACTTAAAAGTTATTTTTCATGCTTCATGTACAATGAATCAGCTAGTGAGTCCTATTTTGATATCAATTTTACCTTTCCAATACTGGAAGTCAGCAAAACCATACGTGCTTTCACATACTGATATGAAAGCAGCTTCATGACAGCAGAGAGACTAGATTATTTGGCAAAAGCTTCTTCACATACAGTATTGTCAGTGTTATAGAAAAAACCCTCTGGCTTCAAGACAGAAAACATAACTTTAAAAAGGTTTTTGGATGCGAACTCTGCAGTTTTAAATGCTTATTCTAGAAGCTCTGGACATCTTCATTTGTGAGTTCAGTACAAAGCATTTTTATTATGTCAGTTACAAAAACTTCTTAGGAAATGCAGTTATTTGCTTAAGTGCAAATACACACATGCACAATTACATGTGGCGTAAACGTTTCTACATTTGGTTTGAGTTTAATTAACACAGATACCAGGCCTTTCCAAAATGCACTGAATATTGGAGACTCTAAATCTGCAAAATCGCAGGATGGCTGAGGCTGACAGGGACCACTGGAGGTCACTCATCCAGGCCCTCACCCAACCCACCAGGTCCAGGTGGATTGAGGACTTCTAAGATTGGAGATCCTACAGCTTCTCTGGGGAACAAATAAGATGCCATACTTTACAGGACAAAATGCTTTGATTGTCTCTATACAAGCATAAATGAATATGGGGTTTGAACTAGTTTTGAAATGTAAAGTATTTACAAATGGTATTTGACACAAAGACAGTATCGGAAAACAAAGGTTTTGTTTATAGGAGAGAGAAATATTAAGAACAATAGCTCAATTTTCCTTGTTTGCATTTGTGTCTCTACAAGAGCTGTGAAATCATTAGAGGTCAGACCTTACTCTTATTTAACCCCTTGGCTTTCCTGTGCCTGTGTTTTCCACAGCAGATACACACCAATTGACTTACCAGAAGCTAGACTGAGATCACAAATAATTTCTCATTCGCAGACACTTGTGAATATTTCAACCTATTTCATAAAACAAATCAAACCCCTAATTTAATCACAGCAAAAACTGTTGGATAAAGAAAATACAGTAAAGATTGTTAAAAAAATTACATAGAACAGGTAAACTACTGTTACTTCAGTGAGTAGGATCAGTTTTAGAACATACTAAAAAAAAAAAAGAAGAAAAAAGATGCAATTATGGAATGTTATCCTTTGAAAAATTAATCAGGTGTGGTAGGGAGAAACAGTTTTTCCCCCTGCAGTTGTAAAATGGTAAAACCCCAGGGGGTGGTGACCCCTGGAAGTTTTGAAGTTTTGTCCAATGGGTGCTTCTGCGAAATGTAAACATACCACAAGCAAACGGAAGAGAAGGTTAGTTGTAGTTGGGTTGTAGAAGAAGTGGCCACGTGAAAGCCACGAGGAGAAACAGCAGCAGGCCCACTGGGGCTGGGCCCCCCACAGCCCCCAGCGGGGGGCTGCGGGGACCTGGAACAGCACAAAGCTGGGCTAAGTGCCTGCAGCTGAGAGCTAAGAAAGTTTTCTCCACTGTGAGTGAGCAGAGACAGAGCAGCAGCAGAAGCAGCATCCACAGACTGTGGCTAAGAGCCAGGACAGATAAGAACTGAACCAAACAGCAAACGGCATGCAGCAAGAGAGAGAACTCCTGGAAGGAGAGCCGAGAAAGAGAGACAGCAGCAGAGAGACAGAGTTGGGGTAAGAACTGGAATAAAACCCCATATCCCTCTGAGACCTCCGAGAAAGGAGGGAGATGGACTCCTATTAAGGACAGGAGCCTTGGAGTGCTGCAGCACCAGAGAGAGAGAGAAGCTGAGAAGCTCAAAGACGTCCTGAAGCTGGACCGGGACGGAGAAGGAATGCGGGGTCAGTTGACCTTGGCCCCCCTCGCTGCTGCTGACAAGCCTAGCAGCCTGAGACAGAGCACAGGAGCTCTGGTAGAACTCTTGAGGCAAAGGCTTTCAACTGAAAGCTGCCCAAGATGTTCTGATGCAGGGGTGAAACCCTGAGGAAGGGACTTTCACAAAGATGTCCCTGCATTTCGTGATATGCCTGTGGTGAAGCGAGTTTTGTCCCTGCTGGCAGTCCACAGGTGAGACCTTCGCTTGGAGTCGAAGGAGAGCCAAGAGGAGTGAAAGGCGACCCCCTTGTGTCTTGAAGACCCTCGTTTGGAGACGACGGGCCAAGGGGCTTGGAGACGCCCTTGTGTGTATTGAGAAGAGATCCAACTACAATAATCCAGTTACGGTTGCTGCATAGAGACAGAGAGACCTGCTGCCTTAGAGACATTGCTGCTCTGAAGAAGGGATCTGTCCTTCTTTCCTCCTGGACTTTTATTTGGAGGGGAGAAGAGATCTGATCCATCGTAAATACTTATGTCATGGTAGAGATAGTTGAGATTGTGTGTATAATGTATTATAATATTTATGTGTAATGTATTATAACATTTATTTGTACAGTCATTTGTAATATATTCCCTTTCCCCCATTCTAAATCTTGTGTTTTGTCTGGAAAAAACACATCTTATACTAGGTTGAGATTGGGGGAGGGGGCTTTGATAGAGAATTAGATTTTTTGGAGCTCTCAAACCATGACATCTGGCAATTCACACTTGATGAATGAAACATGGTGCTAATAGCACTTCTGAGTGTGCCTGAGGCCTAGAGTAACGGCCCTGCTTCTATTACAACAGATGTTTACATCATCATAGAAATCAAAATTTTAGGTGACATGAGAAGAAAAGCCCAACACTGACACCTAAAACTAACCAAAAGAGAAAAGTATCTGAATCTGGAGGTTGCACAAAAGAACTACATGTTGCAAAGTTCACTCTTTTGGGATTCTTATGAACCTTGACTGTGGCACTGGAGGGCAGCCCACACATCCACACGAACAGCCTCTAAACTGACACTGGTACTGTGCAAGAACGGTCAGCCTTGCTTTCACCTTCCAGAGGAGGAATCTGTTGCTACTTCCACTGCAAGTGAGGGAGCAAAGTAACAGCAATGTATAAATGTATGAAAATGAGGCTGTGGGACACCAAGCTTAGGACAAAATACTGTCTTCACTTCAACTCAGTCTTAACACATTGTCTTGGACCATAGCCTTTCTTTAAGTAAAAATAAAAAATTAAATTATTATGCAATTATGAGCTAGGAAGGGTTTGATATGTCCATACTTAGAAGGATTTTATCTCCACTTCAGTGAATTTAGCATTCCTACTCTCTTTACAGTCACTCTCAATTTAAGTAAGAAAAATTATGTCTCTATCAGTGAACTGATGGAAAGAGGAAACAGATCTATTTTTTTCTATTTCCCCTTTTGCCAAACATGACTGGAGAAAATTAACTTAGGAGAAAAACAGCAAGGTTCAGTGCAGTCCCTTGAAAATCTCAAGATGCTAAACTTCTTTCCTATGTTCCTTTCCAGCTTGCTCAGGTGATGGGCACACCTTTTGTCCCTCAGGAAAGAAAGGAGTGGAAAACTAATCCCAAGAATGAACCTCACTCAATCCTCTGCATTTAGCATTGAGGTGACCCACAGTATAGGGCTGGTTACAACATCCCAGACAGTGTAAGCTTGTCCACAGTAACTTGTTTTCCAAGACCCTCACCATTTTTTGTATCATCTTAACTTGTTCCTTCAACTTCAGTTTCTTCCAACTGACAACAATCCAGACCTTTCAAAACAGAAAATGCCATTCAAGAACCACTCAAAAATTAAGATACTACTTACTATGCTAACTTAATCATAATTTACTAAAGCATCCCGTGGTTCTTGTGTTCTTGCCAACACTTCTGAAACAGAAAATAATTTCTGATTTCTAAAGACAAGACTGTGGAATAGCAATAAAGCTGAACTTAGGATCTCTGTCTCCAGACATGATGTGATGTACTGTCACCATAAATTTAGGGAAGCAAAATCTGTATTGCCATGTCAAAT